TATTATTATGCTTTTCATATTTTCAAATTTGATTTTTTGTTAATATTATCTCCCCATTTGTCAAATATTTTGATTATTGTTGGGACAAAAAGAACTCAATAGAAAAACTTAAGGCACTCGTTTGTTGGGAAACAAAATGACCCACCACCAAGTACCAACTGTTTCTATACAATCTACGTGGCATATTGTGGGTCCAAGAGATGAGTTGCCAACCCTTCGAATTTGTTTGTTGAAACTTAAAAAAAATAAAATAAAACAACTTACCTAAAACGATTTAGTTTACTGCCCCCATAATGTTCTAGTTTAATAATATATACTGTTGCTTGCCGACAATTTCACACATAACAATACATTATTAATGAGAACGTCACCTGACGACGGACTCTTTGCATATAAATCATTATTATCTCTTATTTGAGATCATGTCTAATCTTTGAGTGTTTTCTTTTATTTTTTCCTTTTGGGTTGAGGATGTTAATATATTTGTTCTCATTTGGTTGGAGGGATGCATGAATTTGTACCAATAACAAATATATAAATTTAGGCCCTAGGGGATGCTTGAATTTGTACCAATAACAAATATATATATATATTTTAGGCCCAAAATTTGTAGTCACATAAGACGAAAACCTATAGTTATGAAGTATTTAGAATTCTGTGTTGGAGAATATGTTTCATTGATGTACCTAAAATTATTTAGTTTATCGCCTTTATAACGTTCTAGTTTAATAATATATTGTCATTTGCAGGGTAACTTACACATAACAATATATTATTAAACAAGGACGTGAGATGATGTGGGACTCGTTCCATATAAATCATTATCTCTTATTTAAGATTATGTCTAATATTTGAGTGCCTTGTTTTCATTTTTCCTTTGGTAGTTGAGGATGTTAATATATGTGTTCTTATTTGGTTGGAGGAATGCACGAAATTGTACCAATAACAAATATATAAATTTTAGGCCCAAAACTTGTAGTCACCTAAAACGAACACCTAAGGTTATCAAGTATTTGGGATACTGTGTTGGAGAATATGTTTGATTGATAAAACTATTTAGTTTACCGCCTTTATAGTGTTCTAGTTTACCACCTCTATGTATTATCAAATGAGAACATCAGATGACGTTATACTCGTTTCATGTAATTCACTATCTAATCTTTGAGTGCTTAGTTTTCTTTTTCCTTTGGTGGTTGAGGATGTCAATATATGTTCTTATTTGGTTGGAGGGGATGCATGAATTTGTACCAATAACAAATATATAAAATTTAGGCCCTTCTAACTTGTAGACACATAAAACGAACGCCTATGGTTACGAAGCATTTAGGATATTGTGTTATAGAATAAGTTTGATTGATGTACCCTAAGCGGTGGTGATTGAGCCATCATGAGGAACAATGTGGGACCTTAATTTAACGCAAGAAAAATAATTCTTGTTGGGGAGATTTGCATAAAATTAGAACCTAAAAGCGATTAGCAAGATAAATATGATTCTAATGTTGCTTTTGTTTTACGTGTAAACATTATGTTTGAGTAGGTAGCAAGGAAGCATTTTATCCATATTTGAGTTTCTATAGTTTAACAGGTAACCACTCATTTCTAATATTTCAACAAAACAAATGCATACAACAAAAAAGTATTGGTATCACCAGATGCCTATTTGGCACCAAGGAGGTGGAATGTCCGCATATAGTTTTTTTTTTTTTTTTTTTTTTTTTTTTTTTTTCCTTTGGAAACATGTGCGGACGGTCCACCTGAATTGGTACTCTCCTCATCTTACATATGGTGTACACAAGAATTTAAAGAAGAACTTTTTTATAATGGTCTACATTTGAAATGTGGTGTGGGTGTGACCAAGTGTCCATTGTCAGTGATACAAGGCCATGTGTAAAAAAAATTATACATAATATTGTAACATTAGCACATAACGCTACGATGATGGTGTAATTGTATTATAAAAATTGCTCTCTTTCAAGTTAGATTGTTTCGATTGTGTAAGAAGAAAAAAGCCAATACATGGATCAATACTGTTATGAATGACATTACATAGGTGATGGGAGTCATCAACCTGTTACCCCCGGCGTACCTTTGATCCATCGAGCGAATAGAAATGAAACCTAAGCTGATAGGAGAAAGATTTGTCATGATTCGGTCAATGACACAATAGGATGTGAAAATATATTTACACATAGTAATATCGTTAACACATACGGGACTCCCATTATCATGGTAAATGTGATCGTTCGAGGTGGTTTGTTTGGATTGCATCCGGGAAAAAATTGATAACGTGAAAGCCAAGGAAAGCCAGATGCACCCTCACGGTATGTTACTCTCTCTCTCTCTCTCTCTCTCTCTCTCTCTTCTATTGATCAGTTGTGGTCGTAACGTCGTCGTCGGTGGAGATGGTGGTGGTGGTGGTGGGAAAAGGAAAACAGGTAGTAGGAGTGGGTTCACCATCACAGCTGTAACTTTGTCGTTTTCTTATCTCCAACATCTTTTAAAAAATAATATTAGGATTTGAGGATTTTAGAGTGGTCCTCAATCTTCTATATAAAATTAATTTCGCAAAAAGAAAATACTTGGAACAGAAATTAGAGGAAAAAAACAAAAATACATTGAGAGGGTGGTCCTGCCAGGCCAGAAATAAAAGAGAGATGATCCGGTGTGGTCGCTATCACGGTAGACCCCCACGAATGCTTGACCTTTCTTTTCTTCCCCCCTGCCGATGATCTTTTTTCAGTCTTTTGTCTTTCATCGATCCACTTGGAATTAACTTCCCTGCTGAACATTTCAGCAAGAATTCCTGCTTACATCCAATCTCGGATGAACATGTATCCAAGTTTTGATTAAAAAAATCAAAACTTAGACACGTGTTGACCCAAGATTGGGTGTAAACAGGACCTCCTGCTGAAATTTCAGCAACGAAGTCTTGTTCTATTCACTTCATCCAAAATTTGCCCCAAAAGTCAATCCGTTGTCTAATCATCTTCAATTTTGGATACATAGTGAATTGTCACATGCATTAATAGTCAGAAATTACTTAAAACACGCACAATGATCAATTTTAACATGGATAGTATTATCCATACATTTATTTTTATCTTTTACACACTCATAATATTTTTTATCATTTATAATCTTTAATACATCCAATTCGATAACCAAAAATTAAACTAATTGAAAAGGGTAAGATAGCACCACTCTTTTATCATTGATACATGATCAACTATTAGAGCCACCCGTGCCAAAATTACCATGGCAAGGCGCAAAAGTTGCCCTTAAACCCAAAAAACATAAAGGGGCTCTAGCGGTACCAAAAAGTGAGCCCTACTTTGCTGGACCTGGAGCCAGAGGCAAATCCACCTTGGGACAAGGTGAGTTAGCTAAACCCCCAAACTCAGAATTTTTTATTGAAGAACATGGTGCTGCATTTTGAAAATCTGGGATGTCTTAGAAAGCTACTCTCCAACTGTTTGACTTATGGCCTATATGGACACTGGGCAAGGTATCTGCTAGCCTCTTGCTTGTGTTTGCTTTGCTATGGGTATCTTTCGATAGACATATTTGCTCAAAAGTTATTGACATCAATTGACATGCTCTTTCGAAAGATGTTGGCATATGTCGACAAGCGTGCAATATGACATAGCAAATGACCTCACGCCTACTAAAACTCGATGAAATGTCAATTTTTCATGTTATACCGCTATGTGCACTATTCTTACCGACTCACTAATAATATTTCCTAGATCCGCCACTACTTGGAGCCCAGGCAATTATAGCCTGAGTTGCTCCCTGCGGGCAATGCTGAAGCAAGGCTAACATTTCATTGTGCATTCTTTTATGTCCACTTTTAAACGGGATGAAGTTGTACTAGGACAATTACTATTCAAGGTGAGTAGTAACTGCCCTCCCTCTGCCCATTGCCATGGTAGAACGGATGAAATTGCCCTTGGAGATCATGCTATATAAAATACTTTCATTCAGCTTTGGAGAAAACGATTGGCTCAAGCACAACTCGATTGTTTTGATTAATGTCAACAAATATGAGTAGGAAAACCTTACAGTGGATGATGATGACTAAGCCTGCGAGGCAAGGTCAAGTTGATTAAGGATCTTGAGGGTTGCCAAACTTGTCATTGGTTGGTTGGTGTGTGGATGTGGATCCTACTAGTAACAAATTGGCCAATTATTGGTTTTTTTGGGGCCTCTCTCTCTAATAAAATTATCACACCTTCCACGATTAATCATTTATGTTGTTGGCCAAGTCTAGTATAGCCTAGTCTAATTTATTCTAGTCGAGTGGGTGGAGAAGATAAGGCATTTGACTTGTTTTCGGGGCCAAAAAGACCAGAACTAAATTTTTATTGTTAACTGCTAAAAAGTAAATATAAACGATAAAGAAAGATTGACGACATAACAATTAGATATTGATGACATTAAAAAAATCTATTCATTTCAATAGATTTGAAAAAACGTCATAGGCCAATCTCCCGTCAAGTTATTCATTTACCTACCCATAAATTCCCATCACCTCAGCATAGGAGATTGTTCTCAACATTTAAAAAGAAAATAGAAAAATTGACTGAATAAAATTTCAATCGTTGAAGTGATCTTTTCAACTGTTCAGATCAATACGTCATCAATACTGAACTTTGATCCGTTCAACCAAGGAAATTTGCAAGATGATCGTTTCCGTCGATATTACAAAAGTGGTTTTGTGTTACCATTGTGGTGACATTGAATGGTACTCAACCTCGCATTGCGTGAGAAGCTACGAATTTTGGCAGAAAATGCAGGCTCCATGGCCTTCATTAAGATTGATAGTAAAACACGCTACGTTAGCTCAGAATGTTAAGTGAACAAGAGCCCAGTTTTACCGTCATCCGATATTTCTCTGAACCTCTCAGATGAGTTAGAACACGGACCTCATTCATCCGGTTTGAACAACTGCCACACTTGGGGGAGGGCCGACAAACGATTTGGTTATCTACTTGACTATATACAGTCAAAAACTTTCATCTAAAAAATCACATAAAAAGTTGGACGGGTTTGATTCATGTCGTAAATAAATCGGGGCCATGACAAACACCATTTACAATACAAACTTGTAAGACTGCTGCCTGCCGGAAGTCACATCAAAGTACACTTCTCCTTTTTAGCTTCGGGTCTTGCAGATGCGGATGCTGACGAAGTTCGGGCTTTGTTTCTTGTCGCCTGCAAAATTTAAATAGTTTTGCTCTTCAAATTCATATGCCATCCACCGAAAATAAAAACCTACAATACTTCATCATGCTACGACGGGCTGCACCAAACCTATGTAATATAAAACATGGATCGCTGTGTTTATCAAAATTAGTGGGTCAGACGCCCTGGCACATATGTGATTGGATATGCTTATACAAAATTAGTATCTGACTACACAATAGGAAGTTCAATTGTTGTAAGATGGAGCATTACAATTATTTTCCCAAGTTTTCGCCGCAAAACTTTGAAACGGCTAAATCAAAAGAAATATTAGAACATGTATTGAACAAGAAACTGTACCTGGGGACCTACAACCATCCTTGAATTGCCACTAATAGATGGTTGCTGTGAGTCTTGACGCTGCTGTGGTTGTTGTTCAAACTCTTGCTGCTGCAGAGCAATTGCCAACTGCATATCAGAGCTGCCAGAACACAGTTTAACATTATTAGTACATTTTCCACTCTATAGGCCAAACCATATTTTAATTAGCAAGCTGTAACTAGTCTAATTGCAGAAACAGGCAAAACCATATTTTAGTGAGCAATATCCCTAAAACTTCATTTCTCATCTGGTTTTAAACCACAGATTGTAAATCAACTACTAATCTGCAAGTAGAAGCAAAGTAAAATAGTTACTTCATATCAAATGCCGCTTGTCCTGCACTATCCATGCTAGCAAGATAGTCCTGAAACATTGATTTCATATTAGCATCCCAGAAAACTGTGCACAGACTAAATACAATAGTACCAAAGGTAATGCATACCGCAGTGCTGGTGACAGCATTGTTTTCATCCCACGTGTCATTTGTATGATTTTCTACCTTAAACTCTTTGAAGTTGCCTGTCATAAACAATGTATCCCCATTGACCTGAAATGTGTAGGGAACCATCATTAGGATACTGAAAGCAGGAGAGAGAGAGAGAGAGAGAGAGAGATTGACAATGTGAATGTAGAATACCACTTTAAAAGTTTGAGCATCAAGGCACCCTACTATTTTGAACATCTCTCTACAAATGGAACTTTTATATTTCTATGGCAGAAAATAGCGGGATTGTTAATGAACTTCTTCACCTAACATTTCAGCTAACAAGAAACTTTAAACTAACCAGGTTGGGCCAATGGGGTTCCTCAGTTTAAATATTTCCCTTAAAATGGTTAGGTTCCACCATAAGTATATTAATATAAAAAACATCAGCATGTATCTACTTTTAACTGAGATCAAAACCAGTGATCATGCTTTAAATACCTCCGAGCAATTCTGATTTGTCAATAAAAATATATTTCAATGCGATTTCTTTTTTATTTTTCATTTGTTTAGCCAATCCATCATGATAAGTAAAAAGGGGTAATGGATAACAATATCCTTTACTTAAAAACATAGGAATTACAGATCGTACCTCATTTAGCTTTTCCCACACCAAATCAGGCTGATTTATGTAACCCTGATCAGTGGCCAAAAGATAAAGTTCACCATCGAACTGCAAAAGAAATGAGATCTGGTAAATTTTTTCCCTAAAAGAAATTAAATCATTTATTTCAATTTTTTTTCCCCACCCAAACAGGTGATCCTGGCAGTTCAAGAAAAGCAACATCAGTCATTAAACTTCCAATACATACTAACCTTAAACAGGGTGCTGAAGTGATTATTTCGAAAGAAAACACATAGCTCACGCTCTTTAAGACCCTCTTGTAAGCAGAAAAGGCTGCACAACCACAATAACAATAAGTTAATTGAGAGCATGACTTTAATCCAAAAGGATTACAGGGCTACAAAGGTCAAAGTAAGCCAGCATACCCATTAAATGTCAACTGACTAGCATTATTCTTCAAAAAAGTCCTGACCAGTTCACCTGAACCCAGTTGGCAATTGCAATGGGAAATGGTTTAATCAGAACATTACAAACATTAACTGAACTCAAAATAGTCACCAAAGTTACAAATGAAATAACGAGATCCACAAATAATCATTTTTCCGCTCTGATATGGTATAGTACTCACCTTGTTGTGGAGTGATTTCACCATTGGGCCTTGCATCTAAGGGGTTTTTGTCGTCTTGTTTTGCAAGTACCACCTCACCTTCATATACAGGCTCTCTGTCTTCTAAAACTGGAGTTCTTGAATCCAGAATGCACTCCTCTCCTTCATATATGGGCTCACCGCCTTCAACACTTGATGCTAAAGTTTCTGACGCATCATTTTGCTGTTGCTGCATTCTGCCAGTAGATGAATTCAAACCAACATTTGAAGCAGATGAGCAAGATACCTCTGTCACGTTGCTCTTATTTTGCTTATCCAGATGTCCATGAGCATCAGGTGTAAGCTTGGCCTGGCTCTCAAACTTTTCACCCCCTATTGACACATCTGTAAGGTTTTTCTCCACTGACTCAGTATCTTTCCCAGGAGAAAAAAAATTTCCACCTTCAATCTTGATTGATTCATTTGTAGTGCTTTTCACAACCAGATCAGAAGAAACAAGCTCTTCTGATTTCATATAAGTTGGCTGATCAGTATTTTCTGCCTTAAGAGTCTCTGACAAAGAAAATGCTGTTTGTCCTGGAGTAGTATTGAAAGATATCACATTACTACTCTCATTCCTGGAGGCATTGCAATCTTCTGGTACAGACAGTTCTGACTGATGTACATTATTGTATACAGCAGCATGATTCTCTGATTCATCTACAGAATCTACAGGCATAACCTTCTCAGGATGTGTACTTGCATCTGAGCTAATTGACAGAGGGGCTCTGTCAGTAGACTCAGTACAGACGACTGCAAGCAGATCACCCGCTGAGGTTGTCAATTCGGCCACAGACATTTGTAAAGCCCTCATCAACTCCTCTTCTTCTTCACGGTCACCTTTTCTTGCCTTTGGTTCATCAGAAGCTGAACGTGGAGACTCGTCGAAAGATCTAGTTTTAGAAAGGCATGGTGAAGGGACTCCCAGGGTTGCAGTTGTTGCAGCAGCAAAATCAACGCAATCTTCTTCTAGAGTGCTCTTACATTCACTCTCCATATTCTGTGCTTCCAGTGCAACAAGCTCCCCCATGAGAGCATTATAAGACTTTGACCCAATTGCATTGGCAGTACAATCATCCTGGTTAGCATACACTAGCAAATTGATTACAAAAACAAAGACCATGATGTAAATACCAGATGGCATATTATTCAACAAAAAACAGAACAACATTCTAATGAAAAAATTATGAAAGAAACCATATAATGTTATAAACCAGGGAATAAAGGATGTGTGCATTGTAGCCTAGTAGCCTACTCAGAATATCATGAATTTTCCCGACATAAAAATTTAAATAATAAAATAAAAAAGTAGAACCATAGCATATTGTATCAGTAACAAGTTTCCCGGAAAACTTAAATCATATTAATGACTCACGAGTTACACCAACACAGAAAAATCATCTGAATTTTCAAACTATATGCTGTTTTCCCACTCCAGAAATTCGCAGAGATGAACTGCATGTCAAAATTCCAATCAAGTGATGACCAATTCAATACCTAAGCAACAGATTTTCTGAATTTGTTTCCAGTTATGATGTGATACATGTCATTTCATTACTGGAATTTTCCATATATAAGGGCTGGTTGAGAGTAAATATATGTATGCACACAGACCTCAAATCCTGAGTTCAAACCCCATCACAACCCCTTTGGTGGCCACCTCATAAACTTTATCCCAGTAATTGCCTGCTGTAAGTGGCACACACGGACTACAAGTACCCAAAATCAACCAGATACCACCTTAGCAAAACATACATGGACACATGCATACAAATGTGCAGGACCTGTACATATTATGCAAGAGCAATTTTGATGTGTGGCTCTCTTGTGCTTGCCTGCGTAAGATCCAATTGATTATTCCTACCCATAAACTAAATATACAATCTATGTTCTTTCTTCGGCCAAAAAGTTTGTGGCCCATCTTTGTGGTGAGGTTTTAGTCGTTTAATGAAGACACAAGATATCTTATATTGTGGAGGCACACGTTGTCATCCAGTATGTAGACACATGACCACAAAGTTGTTTAAGCAGTCAGGTGTGTGAAATATAATATAGTTGTTGTGTGCAGACACGTGATGTCTTTACGTCAGCACAAGCACAAATCTATTTTTTTTTAATGCTTTTCATTTAATTATGTCAGTTTCATTTATGTTTCTAAGTTATTAATTAAAATTTCAAATTATGTAACAGGTAGGAGAATGATCATCAACCATATCCATATGCTACATATTTGGGGGTATATTAAAGTATACCATAATTGGGAAATAAGAAGATTTTCCTTCCTAATTTGTTTACGGTGTTAAGTAGTTTCTACTTTGCATAGTATGGTTGTGATTTAGTATCTTATTGTGTATCTGTGACTAGAGTTATACTATATTTAAACCCTTCAGGCTTATGATTAGTCCATATAATTCTCTTCCCAATTTCTTAACTACTATATTATGTGAGGCAAATAAGCATTAAGGGAGCCTACTACACCAGGCCCAATTGCATGAACCTCCAGCACACGTCAGACTTTTGCAATAAGCAAAATTAGTGCTTGAATAACTCTACTCATGCTACGTAAGGATTGAGAACTAAAGAAGCAAACCTGCGGATCAACGATCCAACCATGATATAGTGGAATGTCTAACAGGTCAAATATGGCACACTCTGGAGTAAACTCAAAATCATCTATCCTGCAATCATTAGTTAAATTTCCATTAAAACTCACAATGCAGAACATCACAATAACCTACAGGAAGAAATAAACAATGCCAACCTTCTGAATTTTATATTTACATCAATCCCCGTTGCAAGTCGAGGGAGAAGGTCAATAGCATCAGCAATGTTCTGCTGTTGGTTTTCTACATATCCAGCATCTTTATTCTAAATCACAATAACAACATAGTTCGCATCAACTTACAAAAAGAAAGAGAGAAACTCGGAATTGGTAATGAAAGAAAATTGTTGTTAATTACATCGATATTACTGTTAGAATCAATCAGTCTTTCAGCAATGAGCGAAAGTAGTTTCTCCTGTGAGACTTCTGCCGTGTCTGGACTCAAATTCAAGCTGTTCCTCAGCGAGAGAATGTTACCTGTAAGAAACTCAAATTCAAACCAACAAAAAGAAGGCACGAGTCTATGTCCCCAATAAAATAATAATCGCAGTATGCGTATCTTTCCCTAGGTGTAAGTCACAGGATTATTCATGTTCAAATTCACTTGCATGCATGATAATTTTGTTCCTACATAAGGAATACATCCAGAACACTGTAATTTATCATAGGCCTGACCTCATTAAAGATCTTTTATAGCTAAATTGAACCATTCATTTAATTAAAATCAAATAGCAATGGCACTTAAGATTCATAAAGTTATCCATTTAATCTGCAGATCTCCCAGCAACAAAAAAGCTAAACAAGAAAATAACAATCGAAAAATAATAACAATTATAATTGAAGATTGATTACAGAAACAGTAATAAACGGCGCGATTTTTCCTTCTCAGCTTGACAACCAAATAGAGTGTCATTCAATCCAAAATTCAAATCTCGATAATCAGATATGTTATATGTCACCATTTTCTCAACGGTCAATCTGAGAAGGAAAAAAAAGAATTGTGCACGTGGGAAAACATAGGGAGCTGCTATTGCCACTCCAAAAAGTCATCCCTAGCGAAAATAAAGGAGAGGAGTGCATGATGACTATTTTGGAGCGCTAATGACTATTCCCCAAGCATAATTCAAATGATCACTCCAGGCGTTAACTAGCAAAATAGTTTGGAGGGAGGGGGACGAACCCTAACAGCAATGCACATTTGATTAAGGCTCAAAACCTAAATTCCTCGGTTTCTTTTAGTTTGGTTCGATAATTGACACGATTGACGATCAGAAAACCCTAGAAATTAACTGAAAATTTGATAACAGAACCCTCCAATCTTGAGTATATGAAGCATGATTAAGCAATATTTGCAAGGACCAAATCTCGATTTCGGACTCAAAAAACAGATCAAACAAATGAAGAATTCAGGGTATTGAGTGATCAAGTCGGTATTTTTCCTCCACGTTTGTTTGTTTGCCAAAAAAACAGCGTATGAAAGATAACAGAAATTTCGAATCTCAGTTTCTGACTACACTAACACACCCTGCAACTCACACCTACAGAAATCCACGAACCAATTTCAGATTGCGAGTCAAAATACCAATCCCTAATCATTTTCCTCTACTTTCTTGGCAACCAATCAATCCGAATCAAAAAGCAAGAAAAATCAGAAAGCGAAACCCTAAGCGAACGAGAGAGAGAGAGAGATGAATTACAGATAGCGAGGAGCGGGCAGGGACCATTGTCGTTCTGGAGGACGATAGGCGTGGAGCGTCCCAAAAATTGGATGAGCTTGGTCTTGTGGACGCACTCTTTCACTGATTGTTGTTGCTGCTGCGGCGGCGGTTGTGGTGGCTGCTGCTGCTGCTCGGGATTCGATTCTTCAGTCGACGACGACGACGACGCCATGGCTCTAATTGAATTTTGATCACCACCGTCTCGGTTTTTCGTTTTCCCTTCTGTTCGTTAGATAGTGAGAGAAAGGAGATTGTGACTGGTGGAGCATTTGCATTATTTTTTTGGTTCGACGGAACCGCCTGAGCTAAAGTTCTATTATTTTTTGTCCTTTGGTAATATTTTTATTAGAAACTTCGTATTTAAGATTTAAGGGATGTATTCAATTGAGAATTAGAGAGATTTTAATTTATTTATAAATCTATAGATTTTTATAGAGTTTAATTGATTTGTAGAGATTCCATATAAAATTTTGATTCAATTCCCTCGAAATCTCATGTGGAAATGTGAGATTTGTAGATGCTTAAAATACACAACGAAATCTCTTCATTTCCATCTAATTCCTCAATTTTCTCAAATTCTTTAAAATCAATTTCTAATTGAATACATCTAGAATGTTTTAAACTTCTTTAAAATCCTAATTGAATACACCCAGATTTATAAGGATTTTAATAAACTATCTTAAAATTTTAATTGAATACACCTTGAATTTCAGATAATCACTTAAAATCATAATTGAATACCCCTAGATTCATTAAAAGAATTAAAATCCCTTAAAATTCCAATTAAATACACCCCCTAAATTTTTTATGAATAACGCTATTTTCATGTATTTATTAATTTTATTTTATTGATTTTCTTCAATTCATTCAAATTACGTTTTAAAATTTAGAATGTTTGTTAAAAATAAAAATAGGCGTGCGGCACTATTTTTTTATTTCGCGTCTAAAAATGAAAATGAAAATTTTCCAATTGTGTTAGGTCCAAGTCCAAAGACGTGATAGCTGTGTATGTAAAATATAAGAGGCAAAAAGTCAGTCGATAACCCCTTTGCAAAAAAAATTTTTGTGGAACAAATGAAGAGGTGGGGGATTAGGCTAAACCGTTAGAAATAATGTGTTTCAAATTCATCATTAGATAGAATTGAATTTAAAACCTCTCACTTACATATAGATAATAATATCATTAAATTATAATATTAAATAACGGTATGTCGTGATTTTAGAAACTAACATTTTTGGAAGAAGGTGGTATATTATGGAAAGATCCGGATCTCTTCCATCAAGACCACCTGATCAAGTGATTTGAATTCTTAAAATTTGATCAAACAGCTAAAGTTATTATAACTTTTAAAATGGATCCTTGTTTTTAGCCGTTGGATCAAATTTCAAGGGTTTAGATCACTTGATCTGGTGACCTTGGTGGAAGAGATCTGAAGGTGATCTCTTTCCGTATAGCATGGACTTCTACAATACTGTTTAAGATTACCCTTAAAAAACTAATGGTATCTTCCTAACAAAAAATTGTACCATGAATAATTTTATAACGTTAAAATCATCAAATTCGTTGGCTTTATTTGGTCGTTAAATAACCCTTTCACTATAAGGGGTAGAGTGAATTCATATAGTAGGAAGGGAATCCGGTTTCTCTTAAATGTAGTCTTGTCTTCATGCATCATTAGGAACACAGCTTTAGCTTACCAAATTGGATTTACTTAGTATACGTCGCCACAGTCTTAATGATTAAGATATGAAAATGTATATAATATATATTTGTATATGTTGTCAATGGTATTTTAGTGATTGTGTAAATTTAAAGTAAAATCTCAATAGGATTTGGAGATCAACCTCATATATAAGCTTTGTATTACTTGTAATGTAAAAAAGTCCATCATGATTAGCATAAGTAAAGCTATATGGTCAGGGGGTGAAGACACAATTCTTATACACCTGAGTCATCTCTCTCTCACATCCATTTTTATAAGGGTTTTTTTTCACAACTGGTCCCTGAATTTGGATGTTTCAGATCAATCATCCTTTCGTTTGTATTCTGTTAAAAAAATCTGTTAGTATCCTGATGTGGCACATTATGACCCCCCACTCCACAATTATGGCGCCATGTGGATATAATATTACAAAAGTATATGAAACCACATAAAACAGATAACTTCACATCGTATGTGTGGAGAATCTTCTAGACTCGTCATAGGATACATTTGAGCTTCAGGCCCAAGTATTGGGACATGGGTATGTATGGACTTCAAGCCCATTCCAAAACCAAAGGGGTGCATAACCAATAAGGTTCGGAGGTTCCCATAAAAAACTGGGGATAGGGGGTATGTTTGGCATCCTACTACTGAGCAGGAAGATCAAGTTTAACATAACCCCATCCAAAACTCGGCATGGGATTCGGTAGGCTCATGTCAAAGCATAGCATTTTGATCGGTACACTTTTGCCGAAGCAGGGCATTCCTTTTTTGTGGACCACAGCCGAAGCTGTCAGGGTCATTTGATAGATTTCTACCAAAGCAGGGTCTATATTGTTCGGTGGACTACATACCTAAGCCGTTAGGGTCCTTTGTTAGACTCTTGTCGAAGCATGGTCTATACTATTTTGTGACTCCCAATTGAATCTCTGAAGAACCTTGCTATTGTAGCGGTTGTAAGGCTCGCCGTTACAAGTGGCGTCTAGGTTTCTGAGGTTGAAACAGAGGCTCCAAACGTCACCATCAACCTTAATTTGATCGAGGGATGTGTTTTCCAAGCAACCTTGGGCTCACAGTGGAACCCGATCTTTCACCATAGAGAAATCTCAACATCAAAATTCAACGAGCAGTCCTCAATCTACTTCTACGGTATGCAGATTCATCCCCATGGTTGTCAATGTCCTTGATGGATTATGGTGGTTATGGAGCCAAAAATAATCAAGAGGCGACACGTGGATTTTTGGGTAAAAATGACAAAATTACCCTCGAGGCACATCAGGTTTCCTACGCGCGAGCAGCAGACAAACATCCCTCAACCAAGCCAAAAGTGCCCAAAATAGGTAACAAATTCAAAATTATTTCATCCATCCTCATCTTATATTCCCTACAAGGTATTTACTCCATAACCTTCAAAACATTTCATATCAATTGAGTTAATTGGCCAATTAATGGATTTATCACCTAATTAATCCATTAATTGCCAAATAACTCACCCATTACACCCCAAAAAACACCCAAAAGGCCACTCTCTCTCCCAAAGAGGGCCGGCCATGTTTTATAAATTGGACCCCATTTTCTCTAAAAAGCTAAGTTACCCACTCTTGCAAAACTTCCAAAAACTCTCCAAACATTTTTCTCTCTAAATTCTAACTTTGGCATCGGAGGTTCTTTGGCCAAAGCCCTCTCCCCCTCCCCCTCCCCCCCCATTCATCATGGGCGCGTGAGGCTCTTGGCCTTGATCAAAGGTGTTGATTGTTTTGTAGGTGCAATTTTGTCAAAGAAGGAGAAGGCAAAAATTTGCATCCACAAATTGGTGCTTTCATTGAGAGTTGAGATTCACTCTTAGAAGACTCTCTTGCAAAAAAGTTTTTTTCTCTATTTTCTCTATTTTTCTAGTCCACTTGTATTTTTTGTACGTTTTTATTATTAGAATTTTTTATTTGCAAAGATTCTTTGATAAAACGTAAAAGATGAATACAATAGCTAGAAATTTAGAAAATTCCACAAGTGAAAATTCCAATATTAAATAAATGGGACCGCGGCGATCCACGAGACTAAATGTGATCTTAGGGGGAGCGGCATCACCACCACAAGGCTCCACCATGGCAACCACCGAGGTGGCCACCACAGCAATCACCCACGGCAAGGTCCATGGCTTCACCACCAATGCCAAGCCATGTCACTCCATGCCCAACGCGAGCCCAATGCGTTGCCAAGCCGAGCTCAAGCCTCACATTCGCGAACATCACGTGTTGAGCAGCCTACTCTAGCGCCCCAGCCTGCTCTAACGGCCCTGCCTGCTTCCATGGCCCAGCCTGCTCCCATAGCTTTCCAAGCAACCCAAATCGGCCCAAGATTAGCTCAACCATCCTGGCTTCAAGTTTCAGGACCTATGATTGAACCGGGAGCATTTTTACCTCATTTCTCCATAGATTTGACATTTCCCAACTCAAATCTCGCGCCTAGAGTCTACCACCATTCCACTGCTCAAGGAAGTGCATTCCTTCCAGACTTTTCCAATCCAAATGGTGAACAACATTTGTCTTGACAAGTCATAGAGTTGACGAGCGCCCTTGCATAATAGACGACCTTGGTGAATCAGCTCTTGCGGCACACCGAGATGCAACATGCCTCGAATGAGGAGTCCCGAAGTAGGACAAGGGCAGACGAACCTCTCCAGCAGTATCCTGGTAAGCAGCCATTCAACTAGCCACGATCTGAGCGTTCTGGCAATTTACGCTCCCGCTTGGGTCCTTAGGATAGCGTATACTCTTGTTGTAGCGCGCGGAGGAGCGTGCATTCTCGATCAAGCCCACGAACGAGCATACGTTCATGGTTGAGGCCTCACTCCGGTTATCCACATGGATAAACTTCCAGGCTAAGTGTTCATTCACAACTAGGCTCGTAAAGAACATTCTCCATCTCACATCGGAGTAAGCAGCAAGACAAACGAAGAGAAGCGGTCACTCAATCCAACTTAAAGTTCAATCGGTAGCTTGCGAGCAGCTTGTTCGCCTGCCAGGAACGTGCCATATACACTGCAGTTGCAACATAGACAAGTCAAGCATAGGGAAGGGTGACCCAAACCCACATGTCACGACTAAAGGCAGTCGAAAGTTCCACTGCCCCAATAGAAGAAAATTCAAGAAGAAGTCAAGAGGCTCCTAACTAAACGATTGCACAATTTCCAACGTGATGAGGCTGCTAATGATGCACTTCAACGAGACATGACCAACATAAGTATGTCACCATTCACGAATGAGATCAAGTGGACAAATCCATCTTCGCGGGTTCACTATGCCTCACTTCACTCCGTTAATAGGGAGACGAAAATCCAGATTGACATCTGAAGCATTACTGCAGTACCATGATCCTCTATAGGAACAACGATGCGCTTATGTGCAAAATTTTTGCCACAACTCTACAAGGCGAGGTGCAAGACTGGTTTCACACTCTACCACCGCAATCGATCCAGAGTTTCAATTAACTTTTATTTGTTTTCACTAAGGATATTCGTCTAACCGCTCAATCAAGAGGACATTCGACCATCTCTTCAACATCATAAAAGACCCTTGGGAAACAATTTGTGATTATGTCAAAAGGTTCAAAGCGGAGAAGCCCAAGATTATTGGCTGCAATGAGGACATATCAATGGCAGCATTCAGAAATGGGCTTTCTACCGAACACCCTTTATTCATAAAACTGATCATGGGAGAAAAACTGACCCTAGTAGCTTCGTATGCTTTGGCGGAAAAGCATACACTATCGGATGAGGCCAAGCAGTTTAACGAAAACGAGTTGGAAAAGATGTACATGGAATGTTCCCCAACCAGAGAAGACTCAGTTGCCGAAACATTCACCAAGTTCACAGTTCCAATCGGCCAAATTCTCTGTAAGCTCAAGAACGAAACTTGGTTCAAATTGCCACCACCCATGAGAGGCGATCTTACCAGGCTGGATCATACAAAGTATTGCGCATTCCATCAAGGACCAGGCTACACTACCAACGGCTGCCTGAAGTGGAAACAGTATCTTAAGAAGCTAACAAATGAGGGTCGGTGCAACGAATATCTTAATAGGTCAACAAAACAACTTACACAAGCAGGGGAAGTTTCCATCACCCCCTGAACCCCATTAAGGTTTTTTTTCCAAATAAGTTCGAAGTCTTAAACAGCTCGACGAACAAGGCTACACAAGCCGAGGATTATCCAGTTTATTATGCAGTTTCTACTTTCTCGCACAGTTGATTTATTTCTTTATTCTCAATGAAGATTCAAGAAGTTATTCATAAGCCTGGCTCGACTACTGTCTACAACAACTACTCAAAATCCTTTTTGGGTCCGCTCTCCAGTGCGAGAGGATAAACTAAGTACTCTCCAGTGTGAGAGGGTAAACTAATTCCCCAACACCAATATGGGCCTACTTTCCAGTGCGAGAAGATAAACTAATTGCTTTCCAGTGCGAAAGGGTAAACTAATTCCCTGACACCCATATGGGTCTACTATTCAGTGCTTGAAGATAAACTAATTGCTCTCCAGTACGAGATGGTAAACTAATTCCCCGACATTCATATGGGTCTGCTCTCCAGTGCGAGAGGATAAACTAATTGCTCTCCAGTGCGAGAGGGTAAACTAATTGCTCTCCAATGTGAGAAGGTAAACTAATTCCCCGACACCTATCTGGGTAAGCTCTCCAGTGTGAGAAAGCCATATGGCTAAAAGGATCGAATGCTTGAAGATCGAGTAGGAAGCAAAATGGTCAGTGGGCAGCGGCCACTTTTTACACTCAACAATTCGATCATCCAACACTTCATCTTCAGCAACTCCAATCTTGGCAGTTCCACCCTTGACTGCTCCATCTATGATAGCTAAGAAATCAAACTCAAGCAGTTTCCTCATTTCTAGCAGGCAGCCTAAACCGTAACCCATGCCACTCCATTTCCTCAGCCTATGCCAAGCCAATCCTTGGCTCCAATCAAGCCGAGCAGCACAAGCAATGGCCCCTTCCACACCACCTCCTTGGCCCATGCCAAGCCGACTCCTGGCCCTTGCCAGCCGACATGTCGCACCACCCAACAGCTGCACCGCGACAGCATTATCCAGGAAGAAGACAAGGAAAATTAAATTTTTTACATCGGTGCGACGTAGAGACGAAGCAAGCAACGAAAGACGATCTTTTGTACGGGCAAGATGTAGAAGATTGCTAGAGGAGGGGGAACAAATATCCTCTAAGCTTTCTATCTCTTGTAGGGTAGAATAAATCGTTTTCCAAAGTTGATTTAACAACCCACTTAAGGTGGACTTAAATAAACTTTGAGAGGAATTTATTTCCCTTTCCTAGAATGATCTAATTTCATATTAAAGAGGGAATCTACATCAAAATAGGAAGCAGTCCTAAGTTTCCTAGAGCAAGATCTCTACACCTGCTGCCATTTCCTACAAGCAGCTTAGCAGGTATGGGGGCATTTGTGGAGCCAAAAATAATCCAGAGGCGACACGTGGAATTTTGGGTAAAAATGACAAAATTATCCTCGTGGCACACCAGGTTTCCTACGCGCGAGCAATGAACAAGCATCCTTCAACCAAGCCAAAAGTGTCCAAAATAGGTAACAAATTCAAAATTATTTCATCCATCCTCATCTTATATTCCCTACAAGGTATTTACCCCATAACCTTCAAAACATTCCATATAAATTGAGTTAATTGGCCAATTAATGGATTTATTACCTAATTAATCCATTAATTGCCAAATAACTCACCCATTACACCCCAAAAAACACCCAAAGGCCGGCCACCCTCTCTCCCAAAGAGGGTTGGGCATGCTCTATGAATTGGACCCCATTTTCTCTAAAAAGCTAAGTTACACACTCTTGCAAAAATCCTAAAAAACTCTCCAAACACTTTTCTCTCTAATTTCTAACTTTGGCATCGGAGGTTCTTCGGCCAAAGCCCCCCCTTTATCATAGGCGCATGAGGCTCTTGCCCTTGACCAAAGGTGTTGATTGTTTTGTAGGTGCAATTTTGTCAAAGAAGGAGAAAGTGAAAATTTGCATCCATACTAGTGGTTGAACAAAATTTGGGTCAAGGGTTTTGATGAGATTCAAAAGGAATCTCCTTGATTTTGTCACTGAGGTAATCCCAAATCACAAACATGACAACTACATGTGTCAGAGATGGGTGCCATCACCATTAATGACAACAAAAGTCGTTGGAGGTAGCTCGGGATCGCAACCCTCACGAATACACAAGGCAGGGAGGCGGGCGACTAGGTTGGGGAAGAAGAAGACATGTCAAACGACATGTCATGAAACCTAGGCTTAGGACTGGCATGGCTGAACGACTTAGCTCGACTTGAAAGCAGGCGTCGCTTCAACCTGCAACTTCTGCAATTTAAGGTTTTGGAATCCTTTCATTTTTCCTTATTTTTCAATATACCCCCACATATAATCAACATATAACATTCATATAGCATAGAACAATAATCATAGTATTCATGGCATAAATCAAACTGAAATAAAATAGCTTAGGGTTTAGGATTACTTGGATGTTGATGAAGATGGTGAAAAGCTTTCGCAAGGTTTCGTTCAAGGATCCTCTCCTTCTCGTAGAGACAGGTGATGATGATAACGTGTTGTAAACTATATTTTAAAGTGGGTGAGAAAGACAGAGGACGACACAAGAGAGAATAGCTCGGGAGTATGTAAATTATGTCCTCACCCCTTGGCCTATACCTTTATTTAATCATGACAGACTTTCTTACATTGCACGTAATATAAACCTATAAGAATTTGATCTCCAAATCTTTTCAGAATTTTTCATATTTATACAATCACATTCATAATTAATAGTACTATCTACAACAAATTGAGTTATTGTAATTTTCTTCCCATCTCTCTTTTGCTAACATTGGAGAGAGTGTGTTTGATTTTATTCAAAATGTTGAAACTCATAATTTTTACATGAGGCAAAATATACAAAATGAGTTTATACAAACTTTAGCTCTTATAGGGGGTGGGCTTGTGTAGCTGAACTAATTAAAAAACATTTACCTCTAGACTAAAGGTTTTAAGTTTGATTATCTTCCCTATTATCAGTTGTATAAAAATAAAGACTCTAACACTACGTTTGTATATGGAGATTTAAGATTACTAAAGAATTTTAAAATAACGGAATTTTATTTTCTAGAATTTGTGAATTTTCTTGTTCAGTTAACCTAAAAGAACAATAGAATTCGAATACAGAATTTTTTATTTTTAAACTCTCACTCGTAGAAATTTGAAAGCGACACCTAATTATATGGAATTTAAACTTTGGGATTGAAGATCCCAAATTTTAAGTTTTTTTTTTTTTTCTTTTTGGGTGAAAATTCTAAATTTCTTTATTTCTAAGTCCAAACAAGAGAATTGGTGCATATCAAAGTTTGACTTTCGTCAAAATTCCAAATTTATTCCCCCGTCCAAACATAGTGTAATAGTACAAAATTATTTAAACTTCAGTCGTAGTTCTCCATACGTTTCGATAAAAAAAAGTTCTCCATATGCTGCAAGCCATCAAACCAACTTTCGACAATTGAGATGCGCTTTGTCATAGTTCTTTCTTTTTTGCGCAAACCATGACGAGGGAGAAGCCCACCAAAGACATGATCACAGTCAGTAGACAACAGTAAAAATAGTGAATATCTTAAACTTAATGCAGAAGTTTAGTGCTTGCAGAAGAACCTTTCTGCTTGCAGTAAGGTTAAGTGACATGATATGAATTGGTGTAAAAAGAAAACAAAATTGGTATATAAGCCAAAGATATTGATTCATAGAGATTGCAGATCTTGGAAAAATCTATTTGCAAGGGCCAGAAGACTTCTTTGCATTCCTGCAAAAGCGAATGATTAATAGTGTCATAAATTCCTAAATATTATGTATTGATAAGTGATAAGAGAGAAAGCTAGAACCTGTCCCATAGGATAGTGTTCTTTGCAGAGCTTTAACATCAGGTGTCGTATGAGAGACCACGCCAGTAAGAAAATAGCCAGCTATAAAAACCGTCAAATAACATGCGATAAAGAGCAACAAAACGGTTAGTCCAAAAGAAGACATATCAGGCTCAATGTTAATGGCAAGTGGTGCTCCAACACACAGATAGCGGAGGCAAAAATGGCCGAATGGCATCACATATGTGGAGAAGAAACCTGAAGGTGCAATATATAAGACAAGTCAGAATCTCTCCAAATGAACATTGTGTTAAAATCGATATTATCCAGAGTTGGTGTATCATGGATTCAAAAGCAAGCCTGCAGCAACTGGAAGTGACTATAATCTGCAGAATGCTAGCTGGACACCATTCCCCTTAAGTCAACAATCTCTTTCCAATGAGCAATAACGATAAGAATGGTGTGATAAATACTGCAGAAGCAGTAGATAATGATGCCATGACAATGCTCAGAGGGGCCACTGTCGGGTCCAGTCAGAATAGTAGCATAGTTTGAGACTGGGCACCATTAACACAAGATACCAATATAATCCCAGCACCTGATCACAGATATAAGAAAAGTTCACACTTTCATTCTAGTGTTCTGACAGGGAGGCAGGGTGAATCTTCTTACCTACTGGAGTTGGAAGACCAAAAATTGCTACCGCGATAAATCCAAAAACATACCCAAGGAGCGGCTTGACAAGAAATTGACCAGTATAACCAGCTAAAACAGATGTCGGCCTCTTAAAAGCTTTGAGGAAATCCTTTTCGCTGGAACTAACCCCAACTGAAAACATCAAAAACCCTAATGCAGGTGCATAGTACCTGGGCCGTGGAAAAAGGTTTTTGTTACTTTAAAAATGAGAAAAAGAATCCACTTCTTTTGTATGCGTATCTTTCCACATACCAAAAAACATAGTCTACAAAATATTAAGATGAAAGGGGATTCTACAAAATATTGGCTGAATATGGTTGTTTAAGTCTTGGCATGTAAATCACTTAAACAACTACATTCAGACAAACTCCAGTTTTAAGTGTAGCGGTTTAAAACTCAACCTTCTGTGGAAGTAGCTCACTTTCACTAAACTCTTCATCCAAACAAGGTTTAATGATGACCAACCAATTCATTTAAACAAGGTTCAAGAACCTGTTGGTAAACCTTGTGAAAGGTGGAAGGACAAGAGCCAATATGTACCAGCAAGGGTTACATGTGCATGAGCACATTGTCATGCCACCATGGCAGTCATGATCGACTTGTTTAAGAGAACAAGCCCAGGTTTTGGTGCTCCAGAAAAATGCATTGCAGTAGTTGCAAACAATCCTGTTTTATCGACAGCACAAAACGTTTAAGTTGACAAAAACCATTAAATGCATTGCAGCCGTTGCAAATCAAAACGCTGTTTGTCGAGAGCATAAAACTTTAAGTTGACAATAATACCGTTAGCTTTTCTTAGCATCTCTTCACCTGATTTCAGCGCAATTAAAGATTCAATTTTCTAGCCTGAAGGAAAGATTTGAGTTTCTATTATTACTACAAGACATATATGTTTGCATCATCCTAATGATGATAAATTTGATGTAAGCACGTGAAAACTATCTTTGTCCAAGTAGTAACCAAGAAACAAACAAAACCAACGAAGAATGTCAACTAAATCTGCGTCACAATGTCACTTAATACTAGATTCAATCGTCTGCTTGGATTACTCTCAAGTTTTATGTTCTTCCAATTAAGCATGTGAGCTCATTCCCACAGTTACTTATAACGTATCTTCACTGTAAAACTTTCACAAACGGAACTATTTTAATGTTCTAATCTTCATTTGAAGATCAACCCTAGGGCATCAGATATCATTTAGTCCTCCAAATATATGAAATAAATCTATGGTTCATCATGAATATGCTTCTTGTTCAAATGATTTTTTGTAGGGATACAAATGAAGATTAAGAGATTGAATAGTTTCGATTATGAAATTTCTATGGTAAAGATACGATATTTGCAAGTGAAAGAATGGGTTCGTCTCCTACTGGGAATGCAAGTATTATCCTCAATCTAATCTTTTCGCGTCCCGACGTGCCGCATTCTCTCTTCCCACTCTCACCCCATCACATTGCATAACCAATGCTCATGTGAGCCTTCTATCTAGTACAATCATGTGAGATGAATTCAATACCAAATAAATAATGATGGCTTAGTCCAACTTGTATCTAGAGTAGAATATCTTTGTATCAAAACAAAAAGAAAACAATATTGGAACAAAAAAAGAGTCAGTAACAGAAAGAAATGCACCTGCGATGGTCCGGATGCATAATTGACCCGAATGCGAATGAAAAGAATCCGACAAGTTTTGCAATCGCATTGTACACAACAAACAAAAAATGATAAATCTAAATGAAAAGATTATATTTTTTATTCAAATAAAAGAGCAGAAAATGCGAAGATAGCTACTCACACGGAGATATCGACCGAGAACGAAGGGAGCTCAGAGACTGTGAGATTAGGATAATGGAACAAAGATTTGGCGGTTGGGTTGTTGATTTAGACGTCGGTGAATATGTAATTGGTAGTTGTTACTAAGAGGAGTATGCAGTTGCACTTGCAATTGCAAAGCCATTTTTGTGCAGACTCTCTGCACAGCAGGGAAGGAGGAGAGAGCTGAGATAAAAGTATACAGTCAGTCCACTAGTCTACACACTGCCTATATTTGTGGGTCAACGACTTCCGGGCCGGATCCAGGTCTGCCTCCCGGCAAATTAGGGTGGGCACATTCGTGGGTTTATAAACCAGCTCAACGAAATTTGTTTGGTTCGGTTGGGTTGTAAATTTTTAAAAATTATTTTTGAGCAGAAACACCACCACCCGTACAGTAAGTAGGTTGTGTTGGGTTGAAGAACAATTTTTAAACATACATGTATTTTACATACACATATACATAAATATAATAGTTATTAAACACACTTGGTTTATTTATATTTATGAAATTTAAATATTAAGTAATAAATAATGATTCTACAACACCAAATTCACAAGATAAGTTTAATGCTACATTAGGGAATTGCTATTGGTACTCCAAAAATCTCATTTTGTGCTTCAACTTTCTATAATTAAAAAAAAAATACACTTATGATGAGTGTAAAATTGGATTTTTAAAATGCTAATAACATTTTTCTTACATTATTACATGAATTTTTAGAGTGCTAATTTGACTTCACTTTACTACCTGTATTCTAGATTATTTGTCACTTATACTCTCTTTAGGAATAAGAAAGAAAATAAATAATCAAAAACCGTTCAACCCAACCCACCATAGAAATTAGAATTGTTTAAGTGAGTTGATTTGCCCATTTTCTTGAGTAAAAATAAATTTCAATAATGTAAAAATATATTACGAAGTAAGCCACCAAATATATGTCCAACGATCTCAATCCACAAATATATAAACTCATTTGAGCTTAATTACGTGCGTAGCCTCAATTTTAATTTTCAAAATCTTTTATGACCGCAACTTGCTTAATGCTTACCATTCCTTTGACAAAATAAAACAAAAGAGTAAGGGAAGTAGATAGTGGTACAATGTTAGGAACTTAGGACCATTTGGCCAATGTATGTACAGCGCTGAAGGTTACTTAGAGAGTTGTCTTGCGTCTCTAGGTATTCTTTACCTACTTACATGTGTTAGTTTCGGGTACAAATACTCTTTTATTGAAGGTTGTTCGGACTTTTATTAAGAGTATGACATGAGTTACTTCAACGTCGTGGCGATTGGTACTCGAACATTGACTCAATGCCTTTTCTCTACCTCTTCTTACCCTGAAAAATCAGTTTGAGCAGCTTGTTCCTTTGCAACGTTAGCATCATCTTTCTGTAGTTCTGGCGTTCTCCATTCTGGTGGAAAAAAGTCATATAGTTTATTAGACCCCTGCTAATTTGGTCGTTAGAATTAGATGGGATTAGACTCTAGTCCTGGTCAATCCTAAATACTAACGTATGTTTGTTGGAACTCTGGACTATTATTAAGATTGTATTACATTTTAATTATCACATATACTTTTAACTTAGTTAAAAAAATCATGACACGAAATTTTTTCTCGAAAAAAATCCCTCGTGCTTTTACCCGACGATCAATCTTTGAAATTCTTTCAGGTTGTTACAAATGGATGACAATCCACATGAAATTTTTTTCCAAAAAAACTCCCTTGTGCTTTTACCCGACGATCAATCTTTGAAATTCTTTCAGATTGTTATAAACGGATGACAATCCAACCCATAAATTTCAAGATAAGGAAAAAATTTCTAGGAAAAAGAAATCTTTAGAATAAGAACCCAAGCCAAGTGATGAAGTTGTTCCGTTAAACTAAGAACCACTTAAACTAAGAACCAGCTACACCAAACGTGGTATACTAGGCCTAGTCAAGCCAGTCTCTGTTATTTGGTGTACCAAATAAGACTTCTATGCAAAATATAGTATTACAATTTAGTAATTTTACTCTCTACTTATAAGTAAGTAATACCAGATTCGACTCACTTAGAGTACAAGTTCAACACCTAATTATAACTGATTGATTATATATAAAAAAATAAGGAAAATAGCTATATGTAATGACCACATATTAATCATATATCAATGCTGAAACTATGACATAACAACAACACGATGATGATATAATGACAAATAATAAATATTAATTATTTCTGCAACCAAATGTCAAATATGTTTATTGTAGTTAATTTTCTCAAACATTTATACTAGTCCAATTTACTTAAAATAGAGGCCAACCTTCCAAGTAATCTTCGCCCACAAATAAGAAAATCTTTGTAACAAATAAAATTATACGATAAATATATTTATTGAACGAATGATATATTATTTGAATAGATGACAATTATTGCAATGGTGATACTACTAGGAGAAGGTTGAATAAGAGGAGAACGTTAAAAAAAAGCAACCAGAAATCCAGAAGACTCGAACCAAAAACACAACATTTCAATATTTCATTACCAGCTGCAATGACCTTAACAGAAAAGAAAAAGAAAAAGAATAAAAAAGCAAAACCCAAACAGAGGAGACCTTTTACACAATAATGTCATGCATTGAATGCCCTGTCTCTTCACATACAAGTTACCTTTTACCTAACATTTATTTTAACATTATTTTTGTGTGGCCTTGATTTGGTAGATCTCAAAATATCAACTCCAGCAAGTCAACACTCATCCACTTTCGAAGGTCTTGGACTCTTGGCCGAAAGCTACCTTATGCGGCAGTACCATACCCATGGTTCCATGGTCATAGGGGTTTTGGATCAAGCAGGTGGGACACAAATGTGGGATGTGAGGTCTCACCTGACGCATAAAGCAACACACGTTAATCGTTAATGTGATGGACTTGAAATGTAAACTTACAGATGACTTGCTATTGTGTGAATGATGTCATATTCAAGAGTTGGCATACACTAGAATTTCCTTTCTTTATGAGTGTATTACTAATTTTGCCCAAAACTTTATCCAGACAATTTGTCCCCAAAATTTACTAAAAGATATAAAGTGGAAAAACTAAGATAAGACTTATTACAGTAATAGTCCTTAAACTCATCATCATGTGTCGATTTTTAACTCAGAACTTTTATTTTCTTTCTTACAAATGTTGAAACGTACTCTCGATTAACATTGTAGTCCTTTAGGTTAACTTGGTCATAATTTGGTTAACTATGGGGCAATAGAGTCACAAACGCAAATGAACCACAGAAACAGATTAAGAGAGGATTGTTGTAATTAAACGGATGGGAGGAGTTCACCGTCACACGGCAGTTCCTTCGTGTGGTCCCTGCTCCACACCCCTCTCAAGCAGAAGCCACGTGACAGACCTTGTGATGTTGACAACCGTCGACGCGTGGCAACACCTTATTGGCTGATCACTCTATCCAATCGCACGGAGATATTTGACGTCTCAGCCCCTCGTACGGACAAAGACTTTTTTAAAACGAACCATTTTTACGGTGCCCATTCGGTGCTCCAAATTTACCTGCAACTTCTTGTTACAGCGACTGTCCAGTTATAACTGGCAATAGACAAGAATGTTCGCTGTTTTCGCTTTAAAGCTCGTCACCTCTGAGCCGGCCAGTACCGGCGACGGTTGTCGGTCACTTTTTGCACGTGTCACCGAAAGACTTGATGGCATCAAGTTTCTGTGCACCCCATTAAGGGGTTTCAATTATTTTTTTACCATTGGGTGAAGAAATAGTGAGTGGGTGACATGTGTAGGCTGTGCAATTTATTCCCTTGTTTTTTACTTTTTTGGGAGGTGCCCATTAATTACCAAAAAGAGAAAGGGAGATGATGGATTAGGTTCAAATCAGATGGCCTCCTTGCCCTTTTCATTTTATTCCATGCTTTTTATATTTCCTCAAATATACTTGTGTACATATATTCCTAGGGTTCTCCTCATAGACTTTGAGACCTAAAAAGTAAAAGAAGAAAGTAGGGCAAATCAATCTGTCTCTATTAATCTTTACTAATAATTCATCTTCTTCCTCCTCAAATTATTTTCTAGGATTGCAGGTTTCTCTGGTCTGCCCCCTTTCCATATTTAGAAACCCTTTTTCTTGCGGTTGCTTGAGATTTTCCGGGAAATCGGCTACTGGGGTTTTCCGGAATTCGATTTTCGTGTTCGGAAAGGTGAGAAAATGGTGAGGGGGAAGACTCAGATGAAGCGCATCGAAAATGCAGCGAGCAGGCAAGTGACTTTTTCCAAGAGAAGAAATGGGCTGCTGAAGAAAGCCTTTGAGCTTTCAGTCCTGTGTGATGCTGAAGTTGCACTTGTGATCTTCTCCGCAAGAGGGAAGCTCTATGAGTTTTCGAGCACTAGGTACGTTTAGAACACAACCATAATTTTATGTTTTATTTTGTTTACTAAATCTGGCATTTTATTACGATTTATATTTTGTTGAATCTCAGTTTTTGACCGTAATCGATGGATAAAAGCTGCTTCTTGTGTAGTACGTGCAGCAGATAATAGATAGGAAAAAATCTATAATACCAAATATTGATCAGGCTTTAGATGTATAGGATCCTTTCTGATTCAATTTTTTTTTTTTTTTGTGCTAATTTTGTTTCATTGTTTTGCGTTTGGGTTGAAAGTTTTCTGGGTTTTAATTAATTGGGTTTTCTTTTTTATCTTTTGTTGCTGATCTTTCACTCACTATATTTATTCAAGGGCCGCAAAATTTCTGGGTTAATTGAACAATAAAAAATAAATCTTTTAGATGTAATTCTCTCTACCGTATGAATCTGAGGACATAAATATGTACAGTAGTTTCTGCTATATCTATTTGTCATCAGTTTTGATTTGTTAATTACTGAATCTTTGTGTTTGTAGATCTTAATTTATTGAATCTAAATCAGTGATATACAATAGATGGTGTAAATGAACCCGAACAGTGGAAAAATAACTGATAATGTAAGGTGAAATAACTGATAAATAATCTTGGAATTCTGTTCAGTACTGTATCTGAGGGACCTCTGAGCAATGGTTGTACTTGTCTTAAAAATCAGTATACAATTACCTTAATTTCAATTCTTAAATTAAATGTCAGTGTATATAGCTTTAGTTCCTGGCCTCCCCATTTTATATATTGAAAATGAAGGGGTCTCTTTTCATAATCTCTACTGCAAGAGATACTCTAATTATGCAAATAAGACTTAGTTTTAATGATGTTGTCGTCTAATAAGTACTTACAATGTTTTAAAAAAATCACTACATGTTTAATGATGATTGAGACGTAATATCGTTTTCCCTTCACCAAAAAATATATAAGGGGGTCTCTTTTAATAATCTCTACTAGAAGAGATTCTCTAATTATGCAATTAAGATTTAGTTTTAATGACGTTGTCGTCTAATAAGTGCTTATAACGTTTTAAAAAAAATCACTACATGTTTAATAACGATTGAGACATAATAAATTATCAATGATGTATGAGAGAATCTCTTCTCCACTCAATAAATACTATCTGGTAAAGTTAAATTAATAATCTTGTTTGAAGTATGAGATGAGTTTGATTTGTTACCAACAATGATTTAATTTTAGCGTTGAGAAATGCATGAATCTTGAGAACTGATTGATCGACATCTTATACCCTAGAGCACACTCCAAAATATTTGTTCATTTAAAAAGTTTAATATTATATCTAAGGTACTTGTGCTAAGAGAATCTTCTTTGTGATTGAGAAATAATAGAAAAAAAATATTACGAATGTGTTCGAACAAAATAGCATATAAGCCATTATAGTAAAACCAAAGTAGAATTTGACTATAATGGATATACAAATGTGTTCCAACTAAAATGAGTGCAAATATACCATTTGCTAGCTTCATTTTATCATATTGCATGCTTAATTAGGACAAGAGAATTAAGATCATCATTCCGGTGTATTCAAATATTGGTTAGGACGATCCTGGGTTAGGGAGGATTGAACTCAAGATCTCATGTACATGAGTGATTGCTCTTAGCTACTTGAGCTACAATTTTTTTTGCATAACAATAATTTTTGTTAACCATGCCTTCTAAGAAGTTGTTCAATATGGAAAGTGATGTTCACACTCCATTTCTAACTTGTCACACACTCCTCTTTATTTCTAAGCATGAATCAAGCGAATTCAACCGCCAAAATTAATTAGGAGCGTTTGAAAGACTGATAATGGGGTATGTTTATCATTTCCCATTCAATATATAAACAAGAGTACTAGGTTTCTTTGTTATTTTCATCAACAGAAAAATGTCCTTTTAGGTTATAAATAAATAACATGTAGAAACTATACCATGTTAAGATGTTTCCATCTAGTAGACTAGCACTAGGCGTATGTATAGTTTAGTTTTTTAAATATCCGTACCTTTTAGATATATTATATCTATACTTTTAATAATACTTGCATTCTCCCGTGAAGGGATGACCTCATTTTCCCTATGCAAATAATATATACCAACCATACAAATTTTCTAATCGTAATCGTGATATTTTTTAATCTTCATTTAAAGATCACCGCTACAAACAAATTATTTGAGTTGGAAATCATTTAGTCATTCAAATGTATACAAAAAATCAACGTTGTAGGTACTAAGTAACATATTCTTGATGAACCGTTCAAATGAAGATTAAGAAGTTGAATGGTTCCCATTATGAAATTTCCACATTAAGAAAACATAAAACATTCTCCAAGGGGGAATGTAAGTATTATTATCCAAATAAATAATAACTAAACAATCATTTACCATGCAGATGGCGCTTTACTGTAGTAGCGAAAAACAATAATGCCTGTTGTGGGTTCAATACCCATCCATCCCCTCTCCCGTAACATTTAACAATTTAACTCACTAATGCTAAAAAAACAATCGTTTGCCATGATCTCTCTCCCAACCTCTACTTTTTCTAACAACTTAATTGACATCTATACTCCTAAAACTTAACTCAAGTCTCATTTTAACCTTCTAAAACTCAAATGTTTTTGCCTTAACTCCATCGTGTCTCAATTTGCCCATATCATCAATTTCATTAATAAATTATTCAAAACTATTTACCCGTCACAAATGACACATATATCAACTACAATTGGTCCTATTTGTGCAGTGTAAACAATTTTAACGAATTTCTTAGTAAACTTAACGTTAGGGGCACAATGAGACATGATTTGAATTTCATAGAATTAAGACTTGAGTTGAGTGTAAATATAGCTTTTTTAAACACATTCCAAACGAGTTGTTAGAATCTGGAGATAAGAACAATAAATTGGTTGACTTGATATCCAGAGAGATTTAGTTTTTTATTCTTTCTCTACTATAGCATGGCCTTCAACTCGATCTAACCTTCTCTTAAGTTGTAAGTGTACTTTCACCTTGTTAAGCAACCTTTTGCATAACTTGAGTAAGGGGTGCCCGCCGTGGCCTTCAACTCGATCTACCCTTTTCTTAAATCATTGTAAGTGTACCTCCACCTTGTTAAAAAAAACCTTTTGCATAACTTGACTAAGGGGCTAACACTGTGCCCGACCTGACTTGCCTTTGGCGCACTGAATTATGATATATCCTCTCTTTCCATACTCGATATATATATATATATATATATCCTCAATCCTCAATCCTCAATCCTCAATCCATAATCTTATATATGTAGTACTTAGTCATCTTATTAGCTTTTCATTTCAAACTCCAAATCACGACGTCCATGGCTTGTCACTGTTTTATGAATTATGAATACATATAAATCCATTGCCCAACTTGAAACTTTTATTTGGGTTTAGTTTTGAAGAATTACTTTGAAAAATCTTCATATATAATTGAAGAATTAAATGAATAGTGGATCATCAATCTCACATCTGGACGTGCATGCAATTAGTTAATCTTGGTTAACATATTTAACTAGCACTGTTAGTGGTATTCTTATCTCTTCTTGTGCTTTCAGCATCAGAAGCACAATAGAACGTTACCAAATGAGAGTGAAGGATCAAGGCCAGCTCACTACTAAAGCATTTCAAGAAGATATGGAGGTAGTTCGAGTCAACTACCATTACACAGTCTTTCTATCAATCCTTTCATACAATTTAAAAACATCAATTCTGCTGCTATATAATTGGCTAACTTTTATTGAAGAACTATCTTTATATAAAACTTAAAATTAGACGGTTCAAATCATAACTGAAAAACGCACCTGACTCCACGGGGGAAATGGTTATCCTTTCTGGAAGGGCTATTACATATATACCTTCTTTTATCTAAGGCAATGCCTTTTCATTAAAACCTGCATCTGCATGCATGAGAAACGTTACTAAATTTTTTACTATTATTGGACTGTATGCAGCATGAGACGAATGACACTCAAACCTTGGCCAAAAAGATCGAGTCTATTGAAGCTTCTAAAAGGTTTAATTCGCTTCTTAACTTGAAATATGTATTTTAAGCTTGTTTAATTGGTTATGTACTATATATACTGCAGTCAGATTTTCATTTTGGTCGGAGATTATAGATAAATGCTTTACGTATGGTGTAGGAAGCTGTTAGGTAATGATTTGGAATCATGTTCCATGGAGGAACTACATCAGACAGAGAACCAACTGGAGCGAAGCTTAAAAAAAATTAGGGCCAAAAAGGTACAGATTATGAGTTCTATATAATGCATTCTTTTTCCTTCTTATGCTCTACACATCTGGTTTTCTTTATAATTATCATTAATATATAGGTCATCAAGTTTTTACAAGAAATGATACAGATTTCATTAATACGAACATAACAAGCACAAGATGGTGCCAATGGGTACATATTCTTGAGTGATCATTTTCCTAATCTGAAGGTCCTATCGAACAATTAACAATAAAAGCAAACACCTATGTGGCCACCAAACCACTACAATAACTACTAGACACTGGTGCAAATATACCACAAAGATGATGACAAATGCCTGCATCCATAGCCCACACAAAGCCACCATTGAACAGCGAGGCCACAAAATTCGGCTAAGCGAGCACAAAACTACTAGGTGGACAACACAAAAACACCAAAACTACTAAAATCTACGCCCAGAAGGGTCGACACCGAGGGCGAAGAGAGAGTGAAAGGGAGAAGAAGGGAGCTAGTGATTATGGGGGAGGATTGTGGAGGGGAAAACTCATGGGAGGAGTGTGTGATGTACATGAAGAAGGAGAGGAGGCTTAGGAGAGGAGGGGAGAGGGCTTTCACCGACCCCAGCCAGAGCAAGGGGTCGTTCCTGGAGGCACCAGATCTAGGGTTTGGGTTGGTGGACAAGAGGGTAGTGTTGAGAATGAATCTCACGTGTAAAGCCCAAGGGTCATGCATGTTTCACGTCTTCCCGTTTGTGTTGCCCACGTGTTAGGTTTGAAAATGCGAGGGCGTGTTGAGAATGAACCTCACATTGATGGGAGAAGAGACCTTGTGAGACCATGATTTTCTAAGCTCAAGACACCTGGCACTTAGAGTGGCTAAAAGGACTGAAAAGCCCTTGAAGTGAGATTAGAGGTACGTGTGTATTCTAGATCAGATAACTACATGCCAAGATAGTCCGGCACGGATCCATTAGCTCTAAACTCATTACTTATCTGCCAAGTAAGGAAACCCTAATTCAAGTCAAATTAGGATATCTTGGGATTATGCAACGTAATCATAATCCTATGGGGATTGGATATCTTATTCAAGATTCCCTCTTAGATAGTCTCCCGATATAATTGGGATTACGTCTCCTAAGACCTAATACCAAGGTGCTAAAAAACACTAGGCGCTAGTCGGGCACCTAGACGGATTTAGGTAAATTTATTGTATATCTTGTAAATAAGTGCATATTGTCTCTTACAAAAAATTATATTTATATGAAATACATGGATAAGATAATAAAATAATAATAAAATGCAAAAAGAGTATCAAACAATGTCTCTCCAATAAATAGGATTTTTTTTTATTTTTTAATGAATTAGATGGTATAAGATGAAAGTTCATATGATAATAACTATGTATTACTTAATAAATATTTTTTAAAGATTATTTATTATATAGTGAATGAACTTAAAAAAAAGTAAAGGTGTAAACGTTGTGATTTGTAGTATGTAAAATGGGAGGTGGGGAACACTGCACCAAAAAAGGATGTGGGGCACACCACACAATATTCAATGTCTGTAGGATTAGAAGTTAATTAATTTAAAAATAAAAAAATAAAACAAAAAGTGGAGTGGTTATGTGACTTATGTCTATCACGTGGGAAAGTGGTAAGAAATAGAAACTCATTTATTCTATCTTCTTCTTCTTCCTTCCGTCTTCTTCCTTTCATCTTCTTGAAACGCAGAAGGTAGAACCAGAACAAGAACCCAGCTCTCTACAACGACATAATGTCTAAAACGCCCAAACCCCCTAGGTCATCAAGTCGTCTGCCTAGGCCGCCCAAGCATCGCCTAAGCTGCCTCTGCGCCCGCCTAATCCTCTTGCCGTTTTTTCTCCCGATTATAGGCTAATCGGAGCGGCCGGCCACCTTGTAGCACCTAGGCAGCCGCCTAGGCCGATTTTTAGAACATTGGTAAATACCCTAGCCTAAGTATTATTCTCTCTAAGTCTGTTATGATCCAAGACTCAATCTCTACAAGGGATGCACATATTCTCTCTACACGCTGTTCGTCTGCACATAGAAATGGATGAGCATCTCCTCCATGTCTAAGCCAATGCACCTTCGCCAATGATGTATTTTGATGTAGCACACATTATACATACTCCTTTCTTAGAACTACACCAGTAAATTCCATCCTCGCAGATATGTAGGCAGTCCCATCTGGATCAATCAACACCCCCGCCCCCCAAAAAAAAAAAATCAACCCCATTCTCCCTTCACATGAGTTAAAGGGAAATTCCGCCTCCAGCTGTGGACGTGCACGATTTTGGTTGAAAAAATTGATGCTTTCATTGAGATATGAACTCATATTCCTTTGACACACAACCTCTACCAGGACTAACGATGAAAGCCTAAAAATCCCAATGGAGCTTTGATTAATGCTCCATGAAATGAAGCAAGGGCTCTTTTCCCACATAGCGTTTTGCTACGTATTATAGCTAAGTCTTTAATTCTTACCTTTTGTACTGAAAGATTTTTGTTTTACATAGTATTGGTATGAAGTTTGCGGCTTGGGTCTGGTTGCCAAACGAGCAAGTTTTTAATTTTTTATTTATTCAACTAAATATTTCCATTTTCTTCAAGAGGATCTTCTTGTGCATAGAAATTGAATGATAAGCCTAGGAAATCCTAGACTCCTGGGCCAACATGAAAGGAGGCAAAGGCAGGTTTGGCTCTGTGCTGACCAACTCCTCATCACATAACCAACTCGTAGACCTCTTGTATGAAGTCTACAATTAGCTTTCATGAGTGTGGCAATGAAGCGTGGACACCATGCCATTCTCCACAAGCTAAAGTGCGAGTATTGGTTAATTCGAAGGACATGAAAAGTGTGTTGGCAACTCTAGAGCAATGAGGGACTTATCCCAATAACATGAAAAGTGTCTGTAACTGCAGACCCCCTAAGCATAGTTTCAACGCGGAACATGAACCAACTCTTGTGCTGAGCAAAAGGCAATCGACAATTTGCCTATGCACATCAGTCCATTTCATGGACTAAACTGGAATTCCTCAAACATAATTGGACATAGAGGCTTGTATTGTTGGAAAGCTACCGATAGCTTTCTATAACATTTTCAGGCTTATGATTCCAGTCCCTAATGAAGAAATATTGTCATTTGACTACGAGTAGCACAAGCAAAGATTTTCTATGGATTTGCATAGTTCACCTTTTCAAGTTCAAACTGCAATGTGGAAAATAACTCGAAGGCCCATATGTCAAGTGAACAACCTTGGCACAAGCTATGGTGGTGCTCCAAGAGGTAAGTACCTTTGATTACTTAACTTTTATACATGATTAAATGTCGAATTTTACATGATTTAAAGATCTCATACAAAGACTGGGGCATGGAATCATAATGAGCCATGCGCATGAGTTACACTCTAACTTGAGTTAGCCTCAATCATGTGTGGCTCCCACCAAATCAACCTCTGATTGGTTCAATTCTAAATTCCATCAATCCACCACAAGCAAATTAGCTTGGCCAAAGAAATAATGTCATATGGAATGAATCAGGCACGTAGCATGGTTTAACATCGGGAATTGCATATTTAGAATAGAAACCTCAAATCTCAAAATGATCTTTTCAAATTGTCACTACAGATGACCTAAGGAATGTGAATCCTTGCCACCTAACAACTCTCATCCCTTCTTGCATGAATGTGCATGTTTTGATCCTCGCATGACTTTGTTCTTTCTTACATCATCTTTTTGCTGTACACAGCATCCCTCAATGTCCCAAATATCACACAGCTTTGAAACTTTGCAATAGTGCAAGTATAAAAATTCAAAGTAATAATGTCATAGGAGTCTTGTGTGATAAAGCCTATTCCATGATGTTCCGGTTACCAACTTGGGAAACTCGAGTCATATTAAGCGTGGTTATGTTAGGCGAACTATGAACATTGGAACATAGTCTCGTTGTCCGAAAGCTTACAGTGCACCATCTGGCTTTTGTAAAGTTCATGCAACCTAAGAATTGTGGGTTACACATTCAAACCTAAAGTATGAATACTTCTATCCCGGATCATGTACTAAGTTAAGTACATTTTGCAGCGATCTTGTGCCTAAAGTAGGTCCAAATGAGGCATCTAAATTAGGAAATCCTCAAGTGGAATTTTATTCTAGTGGAGCTTGATTCTAGGAAATAGCTTAGCAAAGTCAGCTAAGTTTAATATGATAAGAAACACTTAGGTTTGACTCATATAGAGTATGTCAAAAGGATTCTGAAGGTTTTTCAATCCCACGTGCAAGTGACCAAGCCCCCAATGAACTTTTGATTCAAGATTCATTACAGGCAAACATGTAATTTGGGATGGAAAGGAAACTCCTTCTCGGTTACACATTGCTATTATTAAAATCCTCAGACCTAGAATGGGGCAAAGTTAAAGAACAAACGGAATCAAAGTCATGGTCAACCTCTTTTACAACACTTAGATTAATCTTTTGTAAGTGTTAAAACAATCATCATTACTTAACCAACAAGATTAATCTTTTCAATGTTATCAAGGGGGTCTGAAGCTACCTAAGCCTACAAACTTATTTGTGTTTGACTACGCCACCTATTAACTCTGAATATGTTATTAGATTAAACTATATTCTATTAAAGGGAAGCAAATGATGACAAGCTCTTAAGTAATTTACTCTAACAAGATTAAAGGCTTGAGTGAAATAAACTTATCAAAATATCTCTAAAAGCATCTAAGTCCTAGGGACAAATAAAAAACGGCGCATTCCACCTAGCATCCAGCTTTTCAGCTATGCATTTGAAACTCCGCCCATGGCTTTACAATATGGTTTGGAACTCTTAAAGATCAGATCTTTGAGAGATAAGCAAGCAGGACTAGTTGGCTAGCTCTGGATCATTAAGCTGTTGAAGTTCAAAGGTCATTCCGGTGTGTATTACAGAAAAGGTTATTCCGGAATGATTCGCTTGTGTCCATTGGTAACCATCCATCTTTGAGCTGAACACACTCTCAGAAGTATAGCTAGAGGCATTTGTGGGACCATAATTTTTTGGTGGCACTTAGGGTAGTTAGAATGATCGGAAAAACCCTCAAAGTGAGATTAGAGCTCTATGGGTATTCCAGATCGGATTACCATAGGCCAAGGTAGTCCGGCACTGCTCCATTAGCTCTAAGCACATTAAAGATATCACTTGTCTCTCAAGTAAGGAAATCATAATTCAAGTTAAAATTAGGATACCTTGGGATTGGACAACGTAATCATAATCCTAAGAGGATTGTATATCTTGTCCTAAATTCTCTCCTAGATAGTCTCTTGATTTAATTAGGATTGCACCTTTCAAGATCTCTACAAATACCTTAGTTCGGGTATTTATATTAGTCTTTTATGATCCAAGACCCTCTCTAACATCTCCAAGGAACTTTGATGACACAATAAACTCATTCTCTACAAGGGATGTATATATACTCTCTACGTTCGTCTACGTGTAGACATGGAGGAGCGTCTTCTACGCACCTAATCTAAGGCACATTCGATGAGGATATATTCCGATGTAGCACACATCATACATGTTCCTTTCTTAACTAGTGATTTGACTCTCCATGCTCAGAGATATGTAGACAATCTGCTCTGGATTCAATCACACCACCCAATCAACCTCATTCTCTCCTTGTCAAAGTTCATGGGCAATTCCGACTACATTACGTTTCCATCTGTGGATATGCATGATTTTGTATCCAACAAACCTTGCATGGGCTTATAAATAAGTTAGACTACTCCTTATATTGTCAATTGATTTTATGATGGAACCTCAACTTTCTTCAATAAGGGTTTCAAAAGAGAGAAATATTGAAGCTGACTTTATTCACCTTTTGTAGTTTACATAGTAGGTCACCAATTAAGTGTACTTGATATAGCAATCATTCCGGATAGGAGAGGAAAAAATAAATAATTAGTAGTTCTAAATGTCAAACGTTTAAGTTATATATGTTTTATTTGTTGAAAGTGTGAATCTCATGATAGGAATAAAAGCACACCACAAAGTAGCGCACAATTGTCTTATTAATTTTCTATTAACAGTAGGATTTGTCAATTGTACTATATAAAAATAAGAGTCTTTTCCGCAGAAGATTGAAACTTAAACTACTTAAAGTATCACAAAAGCTGGGCTGTTATTCCTACTGACTAGCCATCGAAAAATAATTATTAGACTAAATTACACATCTAAATTCAATGAAATTTTATATGTAGGCACTAAACACACAGAGGTACTCACATTTATTTGAGATTTTTGGAGTTGATTTGCTATTTTAATTAAATCCAACAAAAATAGAACAACAACAATGATGAAATAAAGAAAACAAAGTTTAGTTACAAATTAAGAAAACGAGTTAGGGGTAGTGCAATGAAAACAAAGTTGAGTCACAAATTAAGAAAACGAGTTAGGGGTAGCTATCTACCACCAAATAATCATGCAAACGTGTAATATTTTGTTAGAATTCCTTCTATTTCCGAATGAGGATGCTCAAGGTGGCTCACTGTTATAACTCCAACTTATTACTCTCTCTCTCTTACGTAGTTTGTCAAGAGAATGATGTTTTCAACTTAACTTAGTTTCTAGCATGCAATCTAGAATGGCGTGTTCATAGATTTAACAAGTAGAAATCATTAAGAGCAAAAGGAGCTTGAGTCATCACGAGGCATCATAAGTATTGGCATTGTCTTACTTATTCTAGAAATTAGTTCATATATTAATCACAATTAACAAGTACTACTCTAGAACATATGGAGGTTCTCATTCAGTAAGGGTAAGCATGCACATATTCATAGCATTAGAATCTTAGATATGCTTACTAAGTATGCATCCATAGAAAACACATAAAGAATGCATCACTGATATAGGTAGTGAACTAATTTTCATCTTTCATAAAAGAAACTCAAACAAAATGTCATAGCAAACTTACAATCATATTCTGGGCTTCAAAACAGCCTCTAACTTCTAGAAATTTAGTTACACATGATTCTTAAATTAACACAAAAGAAAGATATGAGTTTGAGAAGATAAAACCAAAAGAATAGTGTTATCCTTTCTGCCTTGAATGCTTCCCTTTTTCACCTCCTTGCTAGCTTCCTTTCCTCCCAATATCTATGTTCAACTTGTTTTCTTTCCTTTTCATAAGCTTCAAAAGGTGTTATAGTTATCGCCATCATGACTATTCAATTCTAATCAAACCCAATTAGTAGTGAGAGTTGTGGTATTCTTGGTTAGTGATAGAATTAAAAGCACGCCACAAAGTAGCACACATATGTCCTATTGATTTTCCTTATTAACACTAGGATTTATGAATTGTAGCATATGAAAATAAAGGTCTTTCCTGCAGAAGATTGAAACCTAACTACTTAAAAGTATCATAAAAAATGGGCTGCTGCTTATACTGACCAGCCACCGAAAACTAATTATAAGACCGAGTTACACTTATCTAAATTCAACGAAATTTTGTATGCAAATACTAGACACAGAGAGGTACACTCACAAATATTTGGGATTTTTGGAGTTGATTTGTTATTTTAATTATTCAACAAAAACATGACATAAACGAAAATGAAATAATAAAAATAGACTGTAGTTCGCAAGTGAGAAAATGAGTTAGGGAAATTGCTATCCACCACCAAAGAATCATGTTATGTTTCATTCAAATTCCTTTTACTTCTGGATGAAGATGCTTGAGTTGGCTCACTGTTAGAACTTAACTTACTACTATTTCTTACGAAGTATGTTAAAAGAATGATGTTTTCAACTTAACTTAGTCCCTAGCATGCAATCTAGAATGATGTGTTCATAGATTTAACAAGTAAAAATCATTAAAGAACAAAAAGAGTTTGAGTCATCACAAGACATTGTAAATACATGCGTTGTCTTACTTATCTTAGAAATTGGTTCACATGTTAATCGCAATTAATAAGTATTACTCTAGAACATATGGAGATCCTCATTTGGCAAGGGTAGGCACACACATATTCATAGCATTGGAATCCTAATTATGTTTATTAAGTATGCATCCATAGAAAACACATAAAGAATTCATCATTGACATAGGTGGTGAACTAATTTTCATCCTTCATTAAAGAAATTCAAACAAAACGTCATAACAAACTTGCAATCATAATCGAGGCTTCAAAACAACCCCTAACTTTTGAAAATTTAGTTACACATAATTCTTAAATTAAAGCAAAAGAAATTCATGAGTTTGAGGAGATAAAACCGAAAGAAGAGAATGAGGTCTCTTCTCTTCTTTGATTCTCCTTCCTGCTGCCTTGCTTTCTCCACATTCTTGCTGCCTTTTTTCCTCCTCTCTACACTTAGCTTCCTCTCTTTTCTTTTCATAATCTTCTAAATGTGTTATGTTTCCCACCATCAGGATAATTCAATCCTAGTTAAAGCCAGTTAGTATCGAGACTTGTGGTTTTTTGGCTACATCAATTGTGGCTGCTAGGATTTATTATGTTTATTGCTTTCATTGCTTTCTTGTCAGTTACAAACTGCTCAGCCTTTTGGAAACCTTTTAGTGTTAAAACGGGCATAACTTCTTCTAGAAAAATGATATTAACAAGCCGTAAAGTGCTCCAGAAAACAGACATCCTGTAGCTTTCCAAGCATACAAGGCTCATTCTCTAATTCATTATGAGCTGTTCGAAACTCGCAGCCAAAGTTAGCTGATCTGCACATGCAGTTTTGATGAATTTGCTATTTAAAACCCCACTTGTGCTCTTTTCCTCTGCTTTGGTTGAAAAATCCTACAAAACAAAATAACAAAGTAAATAGCTCAAAAATATTAGTAACTGACTAAGAAAAGACAAGTGAATTTGATGTAAAATATATATAAATATGAGCTTATCCGCTACATCAATTTTGGCTGATAGGATTTATTGTGCTTGCTTTCTTGTCAGTTACAAACTGCTCAGCCTCTTAGGAACCTTTCAGTGTTAAAACAAGCATAATTTCTTCCAGAAAAATGATATTAACAAGCCGTAAAATGCTCCAGAAAATAGACATCCGTAAATTTCCAAGCATATAAAGCTCATTCTTTGATTCATTATGAGCTGTTCGCAACTCACTGACAAAGTCAGCTGATCTGCGCAGGCAGTTTTGACGAATTTGCTATTTAAAATCCCACTTGTGCTGTTTCTCTCTTCTTTTTTGCATGAAAAATCCTTAAAAAGACAAAAACAAAGTAAATAGCTCGAAAATGTAGGGATCTAACTAAGAAAAGACAAGTGAATTTGATGTAAAATATACATCAATATGAGCTTATCATCTCACACCAGTGAATTAACCGACCTTGCATATTTTATAAGGAGTTGGGCCACCTTTATTACTGCCAATTTGTTTTGGTGTGTAACCTCAAATTCTTTCAATTTGTGTTGTCTACATATTAATCTTAAAATGACCTCTTACGTGCCATGAGAGAGTGTGTTGAGAGTGAATCTCACATCGAAAATTAAGGGAGAGTTGAGTCATATATTTTGAATCATTACTAGAACTTACTGACATGTAATGCACTTTGTTTTTTCCTTATCAGAATCAGTTATTGAGGGAGCAAATAGATAAGCTGAAGGAAGAGGTAATCACCAGTAGAAGTTTCTGTTACATATTATTACTTGCGGTCGTGTATGTCTATTTGTCTGAAAATGCTGATATGCCATGTTCAGGAGAAAAACCTATTGGAACAAAATGCAAAGCTACGGGAAATGGTAATATTCCAGATTCTCTCTTAACAATGTTGAACATCAATATTGTATAGGCTCCTATGGTTAATACGATTCTTGGCCACTTTCAATTAGGGTTCACGATCTCCAATATCTACAAATGAATCACTTGGATATGCATAAAGGCTACTGTTATCATGGTTAAGTTATATTGTTGAATTGTAAATTTGATCATACATGCATTCAAATGGCCATGATTCGTAATCTGACAATATAAACATCTTATATGTCATATATATATAGCGTTATAAATTGACTAGAAAATTCATTGTCGTCTTTGAATAGGATGAGTATTATTATTAAAACTTGACGTTGGATATGTAGGTGTTAATTTTGGTATGTAATTAAGTACAATATTCTTGGTTAACTTTTTGTAGGCATAATAAAACCTAATCAAAATCAAAATCAAAATCTAGTCTAACTATACTTGGGAATAGTAAAAAATAACATTTGTGAAAGGATCGAAATTCGAATATATACATAAATTTTATATGACTGTTAATTGTTTCAGTGTGGCATGCAATCACTTGGTCCTTCGGGAAAAAGCAAGCATGGAGATGATCGTGAAGTATTCCAGCCCCAGACACCAAATGTGGACGTGGAGACGGATTTGTTCATCGGGCCACCTAAAAGACAACAAAGTAGCCAAAAACTATAGGATGACGATGATGATCTCAAATTCAACATTGTTAATAATAAAAGTTTTCAGCTTCAAAAATCTGCAGCAGCAGTTTCACAAAGCTTCCTGATGGCTGTACGTGATTTTGGGCGTGCGTCTAAAATAATTCTGAAGTAAAACGGTTAAAACATCTATGTAGTGTATAAATTCACGGAAAATTCTAACCAAAGCGAAATGCATACAGTTAAATGCGTGAATATTTGTTTTCTGAACACAGTACTTTAAGTGAAACAACATTTATATATAACTAGTATTTGCCTACACACTTTGCGTCTATGAACAAATGTTTTTTAGAAAATGTGAAAGAGAGAGGGAGAGAGAGAGAGAGAGAATGTGGGGAGAGTGTGAGGTTTTTATTTTTGGTTTTATTTTATTTTATTTTATTTTTTATTTTTTTTTAATGTTAGGTATTTTAACATCATCTGTATGTGAGGCTTTAATAAAAAACAGTAAAATTTGGGTATGTGAAATTTCATTATTGCCCATGATTTTTTTTGTGTGATAGGATACTAAATTGTCTATTTATTCTCTTTTGGTTGATAAAAAGAATTTCATTAATTAGTAGAGATATATGTGTGCGCAACTGTATTTTAAGTAGGAAGAGGATTCACTTTGTTAACCCACTTGCCCGAGCACAATATCAAGATAGCCAACCTAGCCCAAGTTCTCGTAAAAGAGTTCCATTCCGCGTACTCGTATTGCAAGCAAATCCGTAGTTCTCGTTAACCCACTTGCCCGAGCACAATATCAAGAGTCTCCAATTGTATATATAGATCCATTTTTCTGTTTGGATTGTAACACCTACCCTCTATGGAGTGCCCAGACTTTACATACCACTTCTCCGCAGCCGCAATTTCATGGAGTTTAGTCTTGTAGGTAAGAGCAAGAGCAAAGGAAATGACAGGAAGATTGCATGATATGAGATACTCTTGCTTTCGTCCCTGATGGTATGAGATATTTTTGCTCTTGAAGGAAGAAGTATAAGATTTTAATGTTGGTGTAAACCTTTATGATTGAAAGGGGTTTCTTGCTGAGGAAATGAGTTTGGCATTTTTAGGGACTTAATTGAAGAGGTATTCTCGGAGAGGAAGAAAACAGAGTATGTTGAGAAGTTTGGTTGCAGATGCATTTTTGGCAAAGAGATAGAGTTAGGCGTTTTGGATGTGTGCCTTGCCATAGAGGATGAAAGTCGACATATAGAGGAATTTTCCAAAGCAGGTAGTGGTGTGGATGTGGCTTTGTCATCCACGCTTGTCGGCAACAGTGTTGTAGTTGGAATAGTGAAATTCACGTGTTTTCAACTCTGTCAAAGATCTTTTGACAAAGTTGCATGTGATATCTGAAAAGCTGAGATTGCGTTTGGAAAATGTTGACTGACTTTATGCAGAGAAATCCGACTTTTGAAATTCGGAGAGCGATGTCTCTTCGATTTTTGAACAGGTGGCCACGTTGCCTCTTCTTTTATAGAGGTATTAATTGTATTCAAATTGCACTTTGAAGTTTTCCCACCTGTGAAAATTGTCTATGTTGTATTTATGAGATTTTAATTTATCTGACCTTCTTCTCCTTCATCATTTTCTGAAAATGGCTTGCCCATCTAACCTTTGTTTAAATTTGAGTCTCAGGAGGGATACCGACGAGTCACGTTAGGATAATATATGGCGCCCATCCTTCTCATCTTCTAATGGCCCTCTTACAGTTGGAGACTCTGTGATGAGGAATAACATAACCGCTACAGTGGTAGCTAGGAATCTTCTCACTCCAAAGGATAATAGAATCCTTTCAAAACGGTCTGATGAGTTAGCCGTTCAAGACTCCTTGGCTCTCAGTGTTCGGTGTGCTGGCTCTGTTTCCAATATAGGCCAACGCCTACTTGCTCAAACTCGCCAAATTGAATCATTGATAGCCAAGGTGGCAAGTCTTAAACAAGAGATCAGATGACTCAAGCACGAGAATAGAGTATTACACATGCTTACAAATATTTACTCAGCGAGCATGAAAAGAAAACTTAACCAGCTGCTAGAATCTGAAAGTCGGACTCAAAGTGACAATCAGAGGTTCAAGGCTTTATTCCAATGGCACCTATTGCCTTCGTCATCTGGAGTTTTACCAAGTATAGAGGCTCCAAATAATCAATCTTTGGTGCCTCCCCTTTCTAGGGTACTTCCGAGTACTAAGGCGTCACATGAGCAACCTCTGTGAAGGCTCCATCCTGTTTGTTTTAACTCATGTGTATGTACACGTCTGTAATTTCTCGGAGATATCAATAGATAAGCTTTATTTCATTCAATGTATTGTGCTAAATACAATAAAGCATATACTTCACTAAGATGTGGTACTTCTGAACCAAATATCAATTTATCATTACCCTCTCGAAGATAAATGATCGTTCTTAGTGTCTAAATCATTTGAGTATTCCACTCATAATCTTCAATCCATATGATTCTTTAATATGATAAACATCATGGATAAAATTAGTGTTGGTAGATTGATCGATCTGTAGTTTGAGACAATATTTCTCTCAACACTTTATAATCTTTCTAAACTCTTTAGGAGTTCCATTCTAATATTATTAACTCTTGCAAGAGATTTAGTATGTTGCAACAATATGATAATGATAGTATTCATTAAAGTAATTTATACCATTAATTGGTATTGAGTACATAATTTATGTTTTACCCTTCCAGGGCTTACTTTAAGCAATCTGAATCCTTCAGGGATTTTATATACTTTATGAAACATTTTCCTTTGGAATTTATACAGAGCAATTTGCTCCCATGTATACTTGAGGGATTTACTTATGGAGATATGATGTGGGTGACTTACAACCCTTCGTATATAATTCTCCATTCATATGAACTCCTTTACAACCTTGTGTCATATCATGTGAGTATACTTCACTGTATTACAAATGCCTATATATAACCTTCTAGGTTCAACATCTTTTAACCATTTGTATTGTATTCAAGTATATAGGTCTATTTTTCCACATTCTTACAATATTGTAATGGAATTGCCTTTCTCCATTTTGGCCAATAATTTTGTTAACGGAAAAAGAACGGGACTCAATATCAACACAACTCATTGATGAATTTAGTAGCTATTTGAAAAAACCAACATTACCATTGGTTATCATCAATCTGTGATCCCATATTCTCATGTGCATGCACATGCATAAAAGCTTTTCATTTCTTTGGATATCCATTACCTCTTCAAGGGCATTATACTATCTCTTCTAGGATAGTCATAGTTTGGAGAATGCAGATCATAACCTGATCTTGAGCGTTATAGAGCTTGAATTTTAATCTCCACTTCGGGAGTTGAGTCATTGGAACCTATATGTCTATCATGCTTCATGCATAAGACATCAACATTCCCATGTTGGCGGATTGTCCTTTCTGGGACGTGTATCCATGCAGCGACTGTTATGCTTCCGGCATGTAACAATTATGCTTCGGGATTGCAATAGTTCAGTAGTGTCATATTATTTTTCTTTCGAATGACTGAATCTTTTGAGTCTAAGGGTCTGCCACGCTTCAGGCGTGCAACAGATAAATCATTTATTGCATCATTATTTTGTCCAACAGGAACATTAATTCTTGTAGGCACATTTGCAGCAACAATATGTGATTTTATCACTTTCGTTGCATCATTAAATGCAGCTGGCATTTGATTGACACATCATTGCATCATTCAATTATTCTTACTTCATTTTCTCATTGATTGCTTCGTGAATCAAAATAAGACAAATTCTCTTCATTTTTCTAGAACGGTATTTTCTTATCATTCTTTTGGAATGATATTTTCTCATCGTTCTTCTGGAACGATGTTATTTTCTCCCCCTAATGGCAAGAAAATTGTCTTATCAAAATGATAGTCTGCAAACCACGGGGTAGACATATCCTCAGTCAAGGATTCTAAATATTGAATGATAGATGGTGTTCAACACCAATGCCCAATCTGCGATGATGCCTCATTTCAGTACGTCGTGGTAGTGCGATAGGCACATAGATAACACAACCAAAAACTCGTAAATGTATAATGTTTGGCTGGTTCCCAAACACGAATTGTACTGAGAAGTATTGATGGTTGGTAACAAATTTCAACCGACCACATCATGCAAAATAACATGTACCCGTGTAAAAATTGGCAATTTTGTTTTCATGAGCAGAGCGCAGGTAATCAATTTCATCCGCTTAATAAATGCTTCTGCTAAACCATTTTGAGTATGGATATAAGGAACTTCTGGCCTTTATTACAGTTAAGTTGAGGCATTGCGGCACTTCAAACTTACTATACTCATTAAGGAACTTCATGTCTGGATCTGAGAATTTAGGGACTTCATGCCTGATCTTTTTGTATAATGGAACTTCGGGTCCAATCATTTTTTTATGATGAGCATCAAGAAATTGCAGGTTTTGATCTGATCAAGAAACTTCAGGTCCTATATATACTCATTGTAACAAAAGAAAGTATAATAAGTAAATTAAAGCAATAGGCAGTAATTCCAGCCATAGTGAATAAATTGCATTTAAGTAAATAAAGCTTGTGACAAGGGCTTTAATTCAACACCATTTACATAAATCAAAACTTAAAGCAGTAGGCGGTAAAACCATCCATGATAAATAAATTGCTTTAAAATAAATAGAACTTGTGAAAGTGTTTTAAACCAACACCATTCACATAATAATAATATGAAATATATATATTTCTTTCCACATGGTTCCATGCACCATCAGAAACCTTTATATTTGTTTTTATTATTTTTATTCCTTCTCTATCTCTGTCAGTCTTGATCCTAGGGCTGGCTGGGTTGTAGTGGAGGTCGCCCAAATTCAATTCAATCCAAAAGGCTATCAAAGATTGGCGTTGTTCTTGCATGGCCCAGGGAACATGGCATCATGAAGAAAGAACCTCCATACTAGATGATAGCGGGATTTATGGAGCTATAAGACAGGGAGGCCTATGTGGAGTCAGTCCTGCCATCACCAGGCCTGTGTGGAGTCAGTCCTGCCATCACCATCTCAGACAACTGAGGATTCATGGGAGTCCTCGAGATCCGTTGAAAACAACGCGATCTGGGTTTCTAAGTTTGATGAGATTCTTTTGGATCTTTGGAAACCAATTGTCAAGTACAAGTTTTCTCATTTCATAACGACTACAAGTTGTAAATTTCAATTCTCACCGAAATTCGGTGGGACGCTTCTGGTGCTGTGGAAGAGACGGAAAATGAACATACCTTTTTCTGTGAGATTTTAGCTGACGGAGGTGAGAGGGAAATAGTGCTTCACTTGATTTATGGTGTTGTACTGTCTACTGACATGAGAGCTTCTCATGCTGATAACGTGTTGTAAAATCGACTGTGTGTGTGCAGTGGAAGAAATAAACAAGACACAAAATTTACAAGGTTGCTCTACAGTCAGTGTGACTGGAGTACATCCTCGGGGTAGCAGGTAGGCCTGACAATTCTTGACACAACCTGATAACCCGACATGACACAACACGAAATTAATAGATGTTCGGATCAACACGATAACAAATCGGGTCGTTATCGGGTAACCCGATAAGCACCTGTTAAGATAACGAGTTAGTACCGGTATAAATGTGGGTAACACGATATACGATAATCAGAATATTAATTTAATAATTTTATAACCCTACAAAGATACTATAATAATTATATATATTAATTTAACAATTTTATACCCCTAAAAACTATAATATATATATATATATTAAATTAACTATAATAATTATAATAATTATATATACTATAATAATTATACCCCCAAAATATTAACTATAATAATTATATATATATATATTAAATTTTATACCCCTAAAAACTATAATAATTAATATGCATCATGCCGCCCTTTGAAGAAAAAGGGAGGGAAAAATGAAAATTATAAGAAAAGCTGAAAAGAAAACAAAAAAGAGAGGGAAAGATGAGATCTAGTGGTATTTTCAATTTTGCTTACTACTAGTAGGGTGGGTTTTTCCACCGTGGTCTCTCAAGTGTGCACTTGTTATTGTTAGCATAAGATCCGATAACTGTGTTCCTGACACGTGTACGTCATTTACCTCTCTCTCTCTCCTTTTTTTCTTGAGAAATTTTTCATTGTAAAAGGAACACAAATAGTACATCATGTGTTTTAATAGAAGTGGTGAGAATTTTTATTTTTTTAAATTATTAACTTTTTATCACACATATCCCACTATTTTTATAATGACACGTGATGTACTACTCTGTGTACCGGTCAATTATACGTACAAAATAGATTTAAATCTACTTAATAAATATATATATATATATTTATATATATATATATATACACACACACCATTGAACTTGATGGGATACGCATTCTACGAAACTAGTTTCAATGATCCAACCGTCAAACATGTTTTATATACTTCGAGATCGCATACGTCAAAAATTGAAAAAAAACAAATATTTTGAGATCAAGTAACGGGACAAAAACTTTTTGACGGTTATAAAAAAAAATCATGATTTAACGGTTATTTTAACTCCAATTTTGATGATTTTTTACAGGTACACTCCTTGACC